ATCATGCAGAATACCCCTTTGCCCAAACAGCTTTGCTTGCAACTGTTCATTGCAATGAGCCATTGGTCTGGTTCAAGGCCAGAAATGCAATAAAGGCATCCTGCTGTCTGTTCAAATGCTAGGCACACAAAGAGGATAGCATGACCCAAGCAAATCGGCCCCTCCATCTGAAAGTTATGCTTCCCTCTTCACCAAAGCCCCTGCCACCTTCTCTCTGTCTGCAAGGACAAGGGGAAATGAGCCTGCCCTTCAGACATGTTCACCCTCAAAAGATCAGATGCAGGAGGATGACTAGCAGGCAGCGCAAGAGCCAGTTGAAAGACCTATCTTCCAATTATTCATCTCGGTTGCCCAAAGGACAAATCTACTCTTGGCACAGTCCTGCAACACATAATGACTGATCCCATCATTTCAACAGCGAGCGGTGGGAAGCATGCAGAGGTCACCTCCTCTGTGGAGAAGCCTTTCCTCAGTTGATTACACCACATTTGGGCTGAAGTCTTTATTTGTGTCAGCACAGAGGTTGGAAGAAGTGGCATAGGAAACTTGGGTACTGTCTATTGAGACTTTGCCATTGACTGCTTCCCTGAAGAAATTTTGCAGGCTTCAAAGAAAAGTGTCTCTAATAAAGATGAAATAGCATCAAGATTCACAAAATACACAGCTAGTGGCCATCCAGACAACACTGAACTCCATGTATCCCACAGTTGTGATGTTGGGGACCATGCTGGTGTGGACTGCAAAGCTGCAGGAGGAAGCCCATTGTCGAGACCTGGTTCTAGTCAAAGAGAGGTGGCAAATGGTGGCCTGGTCTGCATGAGCAGCCCCAGCCAGTGGGGTGTCCAGACAGGGAACTTGAGTCAGTAGGGCCTCTTTGCAGCAGGACCCTGTTGTCATGGTCCTTATAACAGTTTTCATGACCCTGAATACAGTTTTCTTCTACTTTAGTCAATAAAAACTTGTATAAAATATTTGCAAAATAAAGATACATGTAGCTGTGTGGTAGTCAACTGTCACTGTTACAAAAACTGAATTAAATCAACTAAAAAAGAGACATTTATTTTAGCTCACAGTTTTGAAGGTATCAGGCAATGACTGGTTGGCTCTGTCGGTTTGGGCATATTGCAGAGTGCCATTACATGGCAGAGTCTACTTACCTCATGGCTGGGATCACAAGAGGTCGGGGGAGAGGAGCATCATACTAGTCTCCCCACTGAAAGCACATCCCACAATGACCTAAATTCCTCCTATCAGGCCCTAATCCTTAAAGATCCTACAACCTCCCAGAAGGACCAAGCTGAGGACCCAGCTTTTAATGTATGAACTTTGGGGAAATATAGCAAGCCGCTACTATCTTGGTATCTGTAACTGATCACAAACCCATAATTGGGACATTTAAAGTGTACAGTTCAATAGTTCTTAGTATATTCACAGTCACACAACTATCACCACAACTATTTTAATCATTCCCAAAAGAAACCCTGAACCCACTAGCAGTCACTCTTCATTCCATTCTCTCCCAGTCCCTGGCACCCGCCAGTCTCTTTCTGCCTCTATAGATTTGCCTCTTTCTGACATTTCATCCTCAGTACAAGTGCAGTCATGCAATGCGTGGTGTTTTCTGACCAGCTTCACATACTTATTTTTAACATTTCTAAGGTTCTTGATGGTTTTCAGAGTTGATTTTATAATGGCTTAGTAACTGCCACAGTGGGTAACAACACTCGCTTCCTACAGTTGTTATGGGGACAAAATGAGTTAACACATTAAAAAAAAATAACAATGCTTGATGGTTATTGTTTAATAAATTATCAGCTGTTTGGCTCAGTACAGAGGTATTTACAGAGATAAACAAGGCTGAATATCTATGTTCTGGCCAAACTGAAAGGCTAGCATGTTTAGAAAAATATGAGCATTTGCCTAGCAAGGAAGTGGTGTTTACCAAGATACTTGATGGGAACTGAAGTTTCCCCCGAGTTTCTCTCTGTGTAAATCCCACATTTCATTATGTTCTGTCCCGACAGCTTCAGGGTAAGGTCAACAGGCAGCTGTTCCTCTCCCTTCATAGTAGAAATAGAACACAGCACTTCAAGCTGTTCTATCTTGTGCTTCACTTCAACACACAGACTCACCAAACTTTAGTTCTGCGTCAGAACTAAAGCATTTTTAATTTGTGTTTTTCTTGTCTTACAGATTTTTATACTCAAATTAGCTCATTGAAGTCAGATAGTAATAATGAGGCATTGAGAGTGGTAATTAAAGTATCCTTGTGGGAAAGTACGCAGAAGCCATACAGTCTCTCAACTGCCTGTACTGTTGTACTCTTCTTCCCCTACACACACACACACACACACACACACACACACACACACACACACACACACTTTTTAGTGCTAGGATGATAGGTGTACCCAGTTGGTATTCTTGATTACTTTAGATCTTCTTTTAAATTTTCATTACATTTTAGCTATTTAATTTTTTGTGTGTGCATGCACATAAGAGTGGTATGTGTACACATACTCATGTGCATGCACATTCACCATACGTGGTTCACATGTGTAGGACAGATGAAAGCTTGTGGGAATTGGTTCTCTCCTTCTACCGTATGGGTCCAATGGAGCAAACTCAGATTGTCAGGCTTGGAGGCAGGTGCCTTTATCTGCAGAGCCTTCTTGCCTTCCCATTTATTGTGTTTCTAGCTGGGGTTTCTGGGAAGACTTTTTATTTTGCTGTGCAAAAACTCCTACCTCTCCCCCATATAAGAACACCCTAAAGTCAAGTAGGTCTTTAGGAAGGCGGCTTGACCCTCTCAGGAAGGTCTGAAGTGAGTCCATGGCAAGGGAAAACCAAGACTGTGGCTCTTTGAGTCTTTGGAGAGCAAGTTGCACTGTGGCTGGTGAGATGTGACAGACAGCCCAGACCCAACACTGTGGGAATGGCTATGTAAACATATGAAAAGTTGGCTTAACTTGACTCTGATTTGTTCTGCAATGTCTGGTTTTCTAGACTCCTGTGTCTTGTCCTCTGAGTCTCCAGGGCCTCAACAACAATAACAACAACAACAACAACAACAACAACAACAAAGAGGAGCGTTTTGTTACTGGGAGGAAATATGACTACCTTTCACAGCAGCTTTTCCTTTTATTTTATCCCATCATTCAGAAAGATGATTCTCCTGGTATATAACTTACTAAGATTTAAAATTTAAAAGACTACTAACCACGTTGCAAAAACTACCTTAACCTCATCCAATGTTGAGTTATCTTCTGAGTAAGTGGGTACAAATAGGCGACTTTGTTTTTGTAAATGTAAAATAATACATCAATGTTTTTCAAACAATTAAACTGGAAAGATGCTGTTTAATGGGTGCAGAATTTATGTTTGGGAAAACGAAAAGGTTCTGAAGATGGAAGGTAGCAATGGCTGAGCCGGCATGTGAATAGGACTTACCATGCCTAAACTATGTACTTGAAAATGGTGAAGCTGGTAAATTCCATTTTATGCTATATTCTACACTTATGGATAAAAAATAAGTTTAAATAAAGACACCGAGTAAGATGTGAGCATGAATAGCATTCCATTATTTAGTCATTTGTACTCTGAAAGCCCATTTGTGGATTTATAAAATGAGATAATAGTCTTTCCCTCATATAGCTAATACAGTCATTAAATGAGAAACATACATAATTGGCTCTCAATAGCTATACATTTAATAGCTATTTTTAATTCAACCAACAATGAGTCAAAGCTACTTGTAAATTTTTCCATGTATTAAACATAGAATCTTTCTTTCATTGTTTTCTTGAAAACAATGCAAAACAAACAAACAAAACCCACAGCATATCAAAGTGTGATGATAGCAAATGCCCTGAATCTCAGCACTTTGAGAATAGAAGCAGAATTGTGAATTTGAAGCCATCCTGTGTTCTATACAAGACCCTGTCTCAAAACACAACAATATAAAAAGTATTTGTTTCCTTTGAAACAGGATCTTCAAATAAGCAAATATAATTTCTGTTTCTATAGCACTTACATTGTATTAGGTTTTAGAAATAATAGAGAAATGTTTTAAACCTTAAAATACATGAGAAAATATACATAGATTCTATGTAAATGACACACCATCTTGTAGAAGACATTTGAGCACATGAGGATTTGTGTACCAAAGATCTATGAACCAATCCTCTAAAGACGCTGAGAGACAACTATACACAAAATTAAATAATAAACCAGTCTCTACCATGTGTAATACAAATCCTAAAAGGTCTTATTAATGAAAACAAACCTGGAGCTAGGTATTGGGGTGAACGCTGAAAGATCAGAGAGACAGAACCAGCCACAGCTAACCTCACCTAGCCAATCCTCAGCTGATCTCATTTCCTCAAACTGGAAGAAGCCTCTGTGTCCTCATCCAAATGGATCTCAGCTGAACTGCTGCTCAAAAGCCTGAAAGCTTAACCAGGCTCTAGTTCCTGGTTTTCATGCCTTATATACCTTTCTGCCATCACTTCCTGGGATTAAAGACGTGAGTCACCATGCCTAGCTGTTTCCAGTGTGGCTTTGAACTCACAGAGATCCAGACAGATCTCTGCCTTCAGAATGCTAGGACTAAAGGTGTGTGTCCTACCATTTTCTGGCCTCTATATCTAGTGGCTGTTCTGTTCTCTGACCCCAGATAAGTTTATTAGGGTGCACAATATATTGGGGAACACAATATCACCACAACCATGAATATAAACCTGGAGTCGCTGTAGGCTCTAACTTCTGTCCAGGACACATGACTCCACACCATGGGAATCATTGCTGGCTTTCTTTTCTGGATCCCTCCATGGACTTCCCAAATGGTGGGCATGCTGCTACCCTTGCCCCTGTGTTTTCTTAACATTATGATGGATCTCTCAGTCCCACTGGAATGTGGCCCATACCACTCTGCTCAAACCCTGCCCCTAGGCCGAAAGAAGTGTCCCAGAGCTCCAGGTAATCTGATGCATCCTTATTACCTCTGCACAGATACTGTACATGGCCTTCTTGCTCTCCTTTAACTAACTAGGCATTCTGCATCTCAGGGTTGCTGCCTGGAATGTTCTTTGTCCAAGACCCACATCTGTAACACCATAACATCTGTGAAAATCACTGGAATTGAAAGGATGTCATTTGTGTTAAGTAGGAATGAAGAAAATAATGAAGCTAAAAAATTCATGTTACTATGCAAACCTGATCACAAGAACTATTACAAAAGATTCTTCCAGAATCACACCAGCTTTGCACAAAAGAACTTCCTGAGGACTTCTACACAGCAACCACCGGTTTGCCCTTGGGCTGGCACAAGCTTTGTGTAGCCTTGTAGCCAAGAGTAGTTGACTCAAAATAGCTTATAACACTCTCCTCATTTTGCCTCTAAAACCTTCTGCTTGCCTCACCACATTTGAATGTGCTCACACGTTACTGAGCTATGATGTTCCCCCCGAGATGTTAAACTCTCCAGCCTTAGAAACCTTCCCTCTTTGTCATTTAGGCTGACACTCCCATCCAGGATTTGATCAGACCTCAGCTTCTCAAAAAGCCACGTGTCACAAATCATCCGCCTGCTCTATTTATGATTCTTAGCACACTTTCCTCTAGCACAGTGGTTCTCGGCCTTCCTAATGCTGTGACCTTTAACACAGTTCCTCATGCTGTGCTGACCCCCCAACCACAAAATTATTTTTGTTTCTACTTCATAACTGTAATTTTGTGCTACTGTTATGAATAGCATTGTAAATATCTGTGTTTTCCAATGGCCTTTGGTGACTCCTGTGAAAGGGTCATTTGACCCCTAGATGGGTCACGACCCACAAGTTGAGAACCAGTGCTTTAGCAGTTACTAAGGAGTTACTGTCTAACTTTCTCCTGCTGGAATATAAGGCCCAGGGCAGAGATTTTTGTCTGTTTTGTGCATTGCTATTCCACATGTGCTGAAATAAAGCCTGAAACACAATAAACATTCCAAAAATGTTTAATAATGAATGAGTGAATAAAAACAATGCTATCAAAATTTGGGGAACTTCTCATCTTGATGCATTGTCTTCTTTGTGATATTTCCTAAACAGGTTTTATATACAAGTGTTCCTTGGCTTACCTTGACTGGGGTTATATTCATAGATTTATAATTCAATAAACTCACCCTAAATTGAGAACACCATCAGTTGAAATGCATTAAACAGGGGCTGGGGAAGTGGCTTAGTCAATAAAGCGTTTGCAGCCAAGTATGAGGATGGGAGTTCAAATCTCCAGCAGCCCTGTAGAGTCTAAGTGAGACAGCATGTGCCTGCAATCCCAGCACTGGGCGGGCAGAGACGGGGTTATACCTGGGCTTGCTCACCAGTCAGTTCAATCAAACTAGCCAGCTCCAGGTTCAGTGAGAGATCTTGTCTAAAAATAAATAAAATATAATATAATGATGATGATAACAATATGAAGAGTGATAGATGGAGGGAGAGCCATGACACCAACCTCTAGCCTCCTCTCTCTATACATTTATACATACACAAACACATGTGCATGCATGCTTCCTCTCTCTCTCTCTCTCTCTCTCTCACACACACACACACACACACACACACACACACACACACACACACACTGTAGAGAGAAAATGTACTGAAGAAACCTAAAATTCCTACCAGTTGTAGGAATAATTCCTAATTAGGAATCTTACAGGAGTAGAAATAAAAATTTCTCCTTGTCCTGCCTGATAAACCTATGGAATCCCTCACTTTTGCAGGAGGAGACACTGTAGAGCGTCAAAAGCTGTTTCTCTTCATTCTCACTGGGCTGAGAGCCACCAGCTAACACTGAGAGAGATGGGTGACAACGGAGTCCCTTCAGAACTTCTGCTGATGTTGCAGGCTAACTCCTCTATCTTTTATCTGTAGCGTGGGGCTTTTTACCGTTGGGTTTGTTTGTTTGTTGCTGTTTGGCTTTTGCAGTACAGCATTTAAAAATACAGTTTTGGAATCACACAACACAGTGTGAACATGAACGCATTGTTTCCCCAGTGCCCTCATTAGTTAAATGTGTCTTAACATCCCTTCCTGTGTGCTGCAGTAACGATATAATGCAGGTAAAGTGCTCAGAACAGTACTTAGAAACATAGCTGTCTGAGATGTAATTTTCTTTCTGAGTTATACGCTTTCAAAGTCATGTTTCTGTTAACTTTTCTTACTACTTGAACTTTTCAGTTTTAAAAATATTTTTGTCAGTTTCAGATTTTTTTTTCCTTTGGGATTTTTCTAGTTGGCTTTCCTGATAGTCAGGCTTATGAAATGATTGATTACACTGGTGTCTCCCCACTTCTTAGGAGGTGCTGTGATGCAGCTCCTGTAGGCTCCACCCAGAGGTCGTGGACTGGGCAGCACTGGCTACTGCCCCAGGTCAGGCAGACAATAGTTGGGGTAAGAGACACTTTCACCTTCTTGAAAAGCATTGTCACCTCCCAGAGGAGGTGGTGGCTAAGCCAGGCACAAATGACTTGAGGATCAGGACTGAAAAGTCTATTCTATTATTGGTGGTCATGATCTAGGCTGGAGGTGTCTGGGCTGGTGGCCTCTTATCAAAGAACCAAACAAAGTAAGGACTGATTACAAGTTGTCTGAAAACTTTACTCCAAGTTTACTCAAAGCAAAGTGATCATACAGGTCTACTGTGGGATGTCTTTCTGCATGCTGTGAATATGTGTGGCTCTCATTGGATAATAAATAAAGCTGCATTGGCCTATGGCAGGGCAGGATAAGGTTAGGTGGTACCTTTAAACTGAAGATGAGACAAAGAAAGGTAGAGTCATGGGAGACACTGCTCACTGCTGAAGGAGCAACAAGATGCCAGCAGACAGGTAATGACACGGCCACGTGGCAACATATAGATTTATAGAAATGGGTTAAGATGAAAGGGCTAGCTAGCAAGAAGCTGAAGCCATAGACCATACAGTTCATAATTAACATAAGCCTCTGAGTGATTATTTCATAAGCAGCGGCAGGATTGTGGGCAAGGCAGGACCAGAGAAACTTCTGGCTACAAGAGTCCCATATACTGTGGAGAGCATCAGCAAGCCACATGAGTGAGGGGTCCTGATTAGTGTTTAGGGCTTCCTTTTATGGGGTTCAAGAGAAGGAGGGATTTGGTTTTAAGGGGTCTAGCCTGGTGGTTCTGTTTCAATTGACAGGCTTGAATTACATAAGCCTTTGTTCCTTATGTGTGTCCATGAGGCAATTGATTTTAATTATATACATGCCCAGCTATGTGCAGGCATTAAATGTAAATAGGCATTTGTCCCTGTAAGTTCACTCAGAGGACACAGTTTGCTTTATTATGCATATTCCCCAAACCAGTCTAGACCAGATCAGCCTGTCTCCCTTGGTTTAAGCATGGGGGTTGCTAGGGGTAGTAACTTCTTTTCATTGTGTAAAGCAGGCATATGTGCAGCCTGGTGTGGAGGGGAGGAGATCCAACTTACCAACAAGTTATTAGATGTATTCTTCAGAGAAGGGTGTTTGCTTATACTACATGCAAGTAAGGCTCATAGGTGGCCAAGTGCATTGTTAGAAGGAGGCTGTATGTACAGCCCAAAGCCAAGTAGAATCCTAGAGTACTATGATGTTCCTAAACGTGTGTGAGTCATTTCCAGAGAAAGAGAAAGGGTCAATGGGAGGTGGGATAGGAGAGTTGAGCAAGTTTCTTAGAGCCAACTGCACTGAGATTCACCTAACCACACCAGACAGCTTAGCACCACACCAGACAGCTGGAATTTACAACATCCCGTGCTTCTGATAAGCAATAGCTTCTGTGAACCCTGTTCTCTTCATAGAACTCTTTATACATATTTGAGCCAGAACCTGCCAAGCAGAGGTTTTTCTGTCCTGTGTGTTTTAGTGGTGCCCCTAGATCTTCATGCTTGGTTGCCTCTAACACTGGTTGGAAGTTGAAAACTTGTACCAAAATCGTATCCTAAGGTTCCAAAGACCTTACAGTGTATTCTTATTTAAAAATAAGAGATATCTTTGATAATTAATTTTAGAGTGGGTCCTAATTCTAATCTGATTAGTGTCCTTGTAAGAACACACACACACACACACACACACACACACACACACACACACACACACACACATTCACATAATGTGAAGATTCAGGGAGAAGATATCTGCAAGCCAATGTGGGAGGCCTCAATACTCAATACAAACCAGCTCTGCACGTGCCTTGATATTAAACTTAGGTTTCCAGAACAGCAAGGAAGGAAACACATTTTTGTGTTTAACCCCCAGGTTGGTGGTATTTGCTGTCAGCCCTGCAGACCAGGACTCTTAACAAACTACGTGACCTGTCTCACTGGACCTTGGCACCCACACCCTTCTGACTTCCATGCAGGCAAAATCAGTGCTGTAAGCATAGATCTCAGTAAGTCACTCTTCAGCTGAAGACTGGGTCTTCACCTCACCCTCTGGGCTCATTTCCTAACCTTCCCCTGTATCTCTCTCCTCTTCTCCCTCTCTTTTCTGTCTATTCTGTTTATTCCAATGTTTCTCTTCTGCCAAACCCCAGGACATTAGCACATTCTGGCCTCTCTCCTTGGACAGTTCTCTGTGCTCATTAGCTATTGTGTGTGACTTTCTACCCATCATTCCCATTTCTCATCAAAGATCCCTTCTCCAAAGAGGCTGCCCTGACTATTCTGTCACACAACTTCTTGAATGGCCATTTTATGCCAGGCAACATAATTAATTATGACAACTACTGAATTGAAAGCCCAATCATTCCAGATTTGTTTTCCTCACAAACCTGCTGTTCCACAGGTCTGTGACACTCTGGGAAGTTTTATATAACTTACGCTACCATTAGCACCACATGACCAGACACTGAGTACTTGAAATGGGACTAGAGAGGCTTGTAATTTGCTTGTTTGTTCATTTATTGAATTTTATTCTTGTCATGCTGAATCCAGGGGCCTGGTATGTAGTAGGTAAGTGTATTACCACTGAGCTACACTCCTGGCCCCACGTGTGACTTTTATTTAACTAAGTTTAGAGTATCCACACAAGGTTGACAGCCATGGGGCTTCATCA